GCAAAATGCATGTCAGATTCAGCGTCGGCCAGTGATCATGACGTGTTTTTTCTGAAGATTTTGATGAGTTTAGTGACGATGAAAGAAATGAATGGATGATGACCTCTTTGGGGCTGCAGATAATATATCTGATTAATTAGTAAATAAAGGTTTTGCAATTGCAAGCTTGTATTGTCTTGGTTAAATATCAGGGCCTACAGTTAGCTAGAAGGACCTACAGTTTCAATTTGACATAGGTCCTTCGGGCCTTTTATGATTTTCAGTTAATTTCAAACACTGCATTCAGTACAAAATCAGATATGCTCTAATGAGCATTCAAATTTGAATTCAGCTCAAATTACCTGACTACCCACATGGTATTTCTATTATCAGTGTAGAGTTAACAGTTCATATGATTTCATCATTTATTTCACCGCAGTATATAATCTCTTTTCAGTTGGTGTTTTGGGGTTTTGTATATTATAACAGTAACGGTTTCTAGTTGCTTATTCTATATTGTACTATGGCTTTGATATGATGCATCTTATTAATGATGTAAACAAAACAAATCAGAGCCATATAACAAATAGATGGGCACTAAAGTCTGAACACTACAGAAATGTAATTTTTCAAGTTAAATTTGTACATGGAAAACAAATAAATGTACCCAATACAAATTATATTAAAAACAAAAACAAAAAAAATCCATAATTTTCTATGCGTATATCAATCCCTGTATATCTTTTGGATCTTGTTCAAGAAATTCTTGCTTTGGAGCATCAATCAATCATTCATCTCAAATTTGATAATAAAGCAAAGTGGCCAAGATTAAAAGAAATAGTCCAGAAAAACAAACAAAAAAGAGACAAAAGATTTCATCCAAAACTGAGAACTAATTAGCATTAAACAAAATATCACATCATAAAACAGTCTTTCATTAAACTTAATACACAGGAAACATAAGTTACTCCATTTGGGGGGTGAATAAAAGTTACTTTTGTATTGCGTACGCCAGTATACTAGTTTTAATGGTTGATTGCTTATAAGTTGATGCATTTTGGTATGAAAGATGTAGACTTACCTTCCATGCGTGGTATGTACCAGAAGGATCTGTTTGATATAAATGAGGAGTTCCATCATAATCAAATCCTACTATGAGTGCAGATAAACCAAATGGACGCCTACCATTACTCTGAGTGTATTTCTGTAAACATTGGTGTTTTTGTACATTACTGTTCACATCTGGCATCATATTCAATTTTCAGGATTTTATGGCATTTGTGAAGTAAAACATTTATCTCTCACAAAAAGAAGTTTACAGTATGAATTCATCAAATAGATTAGTAGCAGAAATCAGTGACATGTTAAGAATTCAAAACACTAGAATACAGTTTTCAAAGCAATAATATACCTGTTTTAATTGTGCTATAAACCTTGTTATATATTCCAATGTAACTGAATCTTCCACTGTTAATTTATGACTTTGACATTCAACTCTGGCTCGATTGATGAGTATTCTTGCATCAGCTGTCAGTCCTGAAGAGTGAATCAATGTAGTATTATTGGCAATAGACGCTGATTAATCATCGTTATCTTTGATGGTAGCTAAGCTAAATACATTAAAGCAATTGGCATATCATTTTTAGCCAAAATACGACCAGACACAAGCTGAAGGTGCTCCTGTGTGTTAATTATCTGCTGACTACACAGATTAATTGAACTGATTAAGTCAGGGATGTTTATTGATATTATAATTTGTTTTTCTTAGTATGCAAATAAGCTAATTAAACAGCACAACTACTTTCTGATTAGACCAAATCAAAGATGGTGGCCAAACAATGTGACTAATAACAAAACTTCTCAAACATTTATTCACTTTATACATGTTCTGAAGAAATAGAATTCTAATAATTTGTTTGCTGTTTTTGGAGAAACAAATCATGGTGACAAAGGTCACATGATTTTTTTATTGTGAATTGTAGCACATAATTTACGTGGAGTCAAAGAAAGGGTCAAACATTGTCACTTTTTCTTTTCATTAAATCTAAAATGGTTGTCAATGTTTTTGAGCAATCAGAATGCTGGAAACACATTTTTATAGGTCAGAGAATCGCCCATATGTTTCAAAGAATTACAAAAATAAATTGAACAAGCCATGCATGGCACAGTCCCCGTTAGTTATCAATTTAAGACAAAGTTTTGTTTATAGTAATATAGCTGGAATATAACATGTCAGATATGATGATTGTTTACATTTAAATGATTGACATTTGTATCTGATCGTCAATGAGTATT